TCAAGATTTTTACAAAATTTCAAAATTTTTTGCGATATTTCCATTTTAAATTTCAGTCTACTCTCAAATAACAAAATTTTTAAAGTGCTTCTGTGTTAGCGAAATATTGAATGTAACTCAATAATTTTGTTGAGTACAGTTGAAAAAGTAACTGGCAAATTTATTGCGTCAGCATCTTCGTGTTTACCGTCTTCCGATTTAATTGCTCAGAAATAAGTTCAGGCGTCTAAAAACACTCAGAATTTAAGTATATTTAAATGGTATGATAGAAAAGTGTTAACGTTTTATAATACACATTTTTCTCTCTATCCTATATATGTTTAACTCGATTTTATAAAATAAAAGAACAGTGCAATGGAATTATTGCACAATTCGTCGCCTTTATGTGGAATTGATGTAAATTCAAAATTTGGCTCAAAAAGTTATTGACATCATTCTGCTCAGAATTTCGTGTTCTTTATTGTGACGTAAATAATTAATTTTCATTACTAGACTAATTCAACAATGTTTAAATGTAAGCCTTAAAAATTTTTCAATTTTTTTACACATAACAGTTACCACTCTGAGCTTCAATCAGCAAATACCCGCGCGGCACTGCCTGTCGCCCTGTGACATACGTAAAGTTGACAAGTCCAATGTGCCTGTAATTTCACCAGCACCCTTACCCTTCAAAACCGGAACGCAATAATGCTCACACTACTACTTGACGGCAGAAATATGTAAGATGGCCGTACTTCCCTGGACGAATTCTTTCACTATATGCAATGTATAACAAGGTAGCTATAATTATTAGTATGTTACAACAATTTAGAAAATCAATATATGCTAAAAAACAACAATAAGATGAATAGAAATGTCTGTAAAACTAGACTCATTGTGTAATGTAATTAATATCCCAACGGTTACTACTTATACGATAAGTAGATATATGTTATACAGAAATTTGTACATTAATGTTAAAAAAATAAGAACAATGTACGCTGCTGTGCACGGGTCTCTTACTCTAAGGACAGGGCTTAGATGGGTTTTAGTTAACGAGAGGTATTAAATTCACAAATGTACCTAACTTAGGAATTGAATGCATGCGCACATCCCACTCAGTGTTTCGACACATTGACCAAAATAACAAACAACCAAATAAGAACAAATATCAAACAACCGTTCGCTCACTATGCTGCCACCGCTTTTTATGTTTATCACCATTACTGCAATTCTATCAACAATTTCACAGGGAGAGAATTTGCTTAGTTGAGAACATATTAGGGTTCTACTTTTTTTGGAATAGTTGCTTCTTAGAATTCGAAATTCCCATTCAAAATCGCTTTTATTTATGACCTTTTCAGAGGAAAAGGTCAATAAAGGAATAGAGATTCAAATGAGATCCCAGTACATATGTGCCGCGTTGATGGGGTATGTAGAGTAAGGCCTGGCTAGAGCATGTTTTCTTGTCGATGGAGGGTCGTTTCTTATACTAGGTTGAAGATCGATCATGCGTAATCCTTTTGGGAATGAAATGTACATAATATGTTAAATACTTCGTAAGTATTAACTGATGATTTTCTATTTTTCTCGACACGCATTTATTTTGTCTGTGCCTCATTTGGTATAGACGAAAATAAAAGTACTTTATAGGTACATACAATATATATGCATGTGTAAATAGCTTTACATTGAAAAGTCCACAAATACCGCACGTGACTTTGAAGTGTCTCTATGTTAAAAAGGAGACCAATAATGCCGTCATTTGTAAATAAGTAACGGCCGTTACGCTCTTCGATATCGACCATCGGCTCTACACAACCTATTTTTAGAGACCTACCCTGCCCTTATGGCATGGGCAACGTTTTCAGAACCCTCTCATTGGCTGTTCCGCGGTGACGTCACAGCCGCGCAGTCACCAATTGGAGGCTGTTGTTCTGCGCATGGGCGTTGGCAGTTTTCAGGAGAAAAGGCTGTACAAGCCAGTCTGGGCGAGGTGTTCCCAGGTGTGCCAAGCGCGCGCTAAACAAAACAAAGGTGATTTTGAATGGCGGTTTTTGACGCCATTTTTGTTTTTTTGAATTTCGATCGTACTTAACAAACGTTGTCTAAAATTTGTGTTTCAAAGTAATTTTGTATTTCCGGATGTAAAGTGTATTTTCTGGATTACTTCAGGAATTTCGTTTAGTGAAGGTTTTTTCAACATGTTCTGAATGTTATTCGTGATTGAGCATTGTTGTTTTTGAGAAAGATCGTACAGGATCCAGTTGTGGTCAAAAATCTGTGGTTATTGTTACATAAGAGTGGTTACATAATAGTTATATAAATTTGGTGAATGAGAGAAGAGGATAGAGTTATGTGAGCACGTGTGGGTGCGAGCGAGAGGGAACATTTTCAAATAGTGATTTTTCGGTGAAGGTTGTTGGAATAATGTGATGGATGGAGAACAATCGTTTGTTTAAAATTTAATGAATTCTAATTTTAATGTGAATTCTATTAATACGATTAATTTATTTTTATCGACCTTCCTGAAAAAGAACGCCAGTTTATATTTTCATTTTAAATCAGATTTCAGTCGAGTGGTCGTGGTATGGACAATATAAAATATATAAAACTTGATTGTAAAGTATCCAAGAAATGACGATGCCATCGTAGCGTGGCCGCCGACGGGTGGGCTGCAGCGGCGGAATCGCTACGCGTCGCGTAGCGCTACGAGTGGCGAGCGTAGCTCTTTTACCAAAGTTTTTTTCGATTATTAGAGCTTGTACTTTGTGTCGTTTCCTTACAAACGTCTTTGGTGTCCCGACACAGTTCTGAGTTACTTCGTCACCAGTAAACTTCTTAAATCAATTAATGGATTGTAAAATTTAGTTTTGTTAAGAATAATCCCAAAAAAATGTGAACTTTTAAAAGATCTAAATAGCATTGCGCCAAAGAAGTAAATGGACTCATCGACTCATGGACTGCGAGCTGCAGTCGCACCTCACGGTATGCAGACCTCAATGATATCCCGTCGGGAGCCACAGTCGACTAGTCCGTTGTACCAGTCCAGTCGCGAACTGCATACGCTTAATTGATGTAACCTTTATGCCAATGAATGTACTAGTAATGAATGCACTATACGCGTAAATACATTGGCCCCGTCCATCTCCAAAACATCGACACGAAAAATTAAAAGCCAAAAGGACTTCGGCTACAACTACGCAATTCGCAATCTTCTTGAAAAATGCTATCCAAAATTTTCATGAAACAAATCCCAGTTAGCAGCCTTAAATTGGTGTAGAGAAAAGCAAATATATTTATTGGTATCGACTTTCTTGTGGTCTCGAAGCGTCAAATCCCAAACACCACAGACATTTTCCATCGAATACATTTCGAAGAGTGCGCAAAGACTTTATATTTTAGTTCCACCCTTACCGTTTCTCCTTCGGTCATTTAGAAAGTCCAACAAGTTCTATCCTTATGTTATTCACATACCATCCATTCGCAGGAAGCGCTTTGCTTCCTTCTTCAAAATGCGTACGGCAAAGTATTGGAATACATTGCCTGCACTTGTGTTTCCTGGAAACTAGAATCTGGGGCTATTCAAGGTTGGAGTGAACAATTTAGTAGCAGTAGAACTCCTTGTGAAAGAGTTCGTCCAGGGAAGTACTGCCATCTTACCTATTTCTGCCGCCAAGCAACATTACTCTGATTCAGTTTTGAAGGGTAAGGGTGTTGGTGAAATTATAGGCGCATGGGATAGGTCAACTTATGTCTCAGGGTGACGTGCGCAGTGGCAGTGTCCATCAGATCTTTGCGATTTAAAGCTCTGAGTGGCACTGCAACTGTTCTGGATAGGCGTGTCGCTTACCACCAGGTACACGATTTGTCCATCCCATCACTTGGTACTATAAAATAAATATAATATTACGCACTTTTTAGACAAACCGTCGTATTCGTATCGTCACTTAACGTAATTTGAGATTACGTAGAAGCGTGTGTCTATTTAAAAAAAATGTGGGAAACTAACGGCCTGTCCACGTTGCACAACGTAATAGCTTAGTTACAGGAGGAATGCTGGCGGCATCGGTTTGATGCGATTTTAGGCTCACTGTTTAAATTGTTAATATATATTAATTTTGTGTATATTAATAAATACACAATTTATCTAAAAGGGTAGCTTAGTTACTTAATGTGTAAATAATTTGTAGAGTTCAGTAACGATAGAACAAATATGAACAATAAGACTGCGATTGATAGACGTTCTTTGCTCGCTGCTCTTTGTTCTAATACTGCAATACCTATAGGTCATGTAAGTATAAAAAGTTAATCGTATAATTTTCTGTTAAGATTAAAAATATCCTCGAACACTTAACCTTGTACATAGTACTTGTTACAAGACTTTGCGATGTGATGGATACATAAAGGTAGCATTTTAAAATCTCAATTTTTTTGCAAAACAATATAAAGGAAGTTTCAAATTTCCGCTACAACTCAAGGCCAAAGGAGTTTAGTTTTAATTTTAAGGATACAATTATTTCTCAAAGGAACGGAAGTCATACATAGCGACTTCCGGCCAAAATGGCGGGCGGAAGCGGTGGAGTGCCACAAGCCCGTTTCCGCAAGCGAAAAGCCCTCCAGGGGTGAAAAAATGTAGACTTTTGAATGTGGAGCTTGGATTTCTTAAGAATGCTTGCTGTGAGATGTGTGCTTGGCAATTTCTTACACGGTAAATTTATTTCACCGGTCTGTGTTAAAATTTCAAATCTCCCGAGCTTATGTGAGTTTTAATAGAATCAACTTTGAGTGCGTGCTGTGTTGACTTAGAGTGAAGTATGAAAGACCTGGTGAAGGCTTGTGAAGAGTGTGAGATTGAGAATAAACCATTGAATTTACTTACGTATGCACGGTGTATTTAACTGCTTTTTTATTAAAGAAGTCTTTTTAATGCAATTCAAGTGACTCGTTATTAATTTGCTATCTTGATCGTTGTTGCAGACGACCTAGCGGCGCACCATGGCGAACCACTGAGGCCCTAAACAATACATATCAAAACATGCACTGACTTAGCTTAATTGAAACTTAAACGTAACAACAAGCAAACGGCGCGTACTGGCCATTGTACCTTATTAAATTTAGAAGTATACGTCATTTTGAAATTTGTATCAAACTGAGCACGTTCAATATTCGGGAGTTTTTATAAGTAGAGCTAGTGTTGAGGCGCTCGGGGTAGGTCGTAGGGCGCTAGAGTGTTCGGTGGCGCGGGGCGCGTGCCCCGGGGCGCAAGGTGGAGGACGAGGGCGCACTGCTGGGGCGGCTGCAGGGGGCGCTGCGCGGTGGCGCCGCCGTCCCCTCGCCCTCGCGCGTCGCCAGCTCCATCAGGGGCTACCTTTCTAACAAGGTCGGCTCGCTGCAGCTCAGAGATACAGGTGAGTCACAGATCCTGGTCTACATATCTTCTACATAATAATATACTATCGCACTGTTGAGTCGCATAAGAAGATTTTATATTTATTGTTCGTTGTTGCATCAGCGATGACGAAATATACCTATATCGAGGTACTAACACGCACACACATACACACGCGAGCGCGCGCACACACTAACGCACGCACACACGCACGCACGCACACACACACACACACACACACACACACACAGAAGCGCGCGGGCACTTCCACACTCTCGACTCCCCACAATATTGTTTGTTATATAGCGTAGTTACTTTTTACTGAATAAAAATAACTTTTATTCACCTTCCAATTGTAAGATTGAATTAATCTCTTTTTTATACATTTATATTTTTTTATAAATTAAATCCAATTTATCAGAAAAACAGCACAAATTTATTTACTTATTTATCACCAAACTCATGACACGTATTTTCTTAATTTTCTATACAATCGTGTGTTTGTGGATATTTAGATAAGGGTTATGTTTCGTCTGTCAACGCTCGGTATGACGTCACAAGGGTAAACGTGTACTTATCAAAAGAATAAACCTATCACCTTGTTCCCCCACGTAATCCTCCATAATATTTGCGAATGACATCGAAGGGTCCTTCCGCCTGTGACGCGGCTAAGCAAAACAATACAGATGTTCCTTTGGCGTTACAGGGGTTTAACCATTACCAATAACAATTATGTGTGTCTTAATATTGTGTAGACAAAGACAAAAGAAACAAAACAATTTTTACTACTATGGACTACAAATGTCTGAAAAAAATTATTTGTACCAAAAATAATTAAAATGTGTTTGGAAATGAAACGATGTTTTCGTCAAAAATAGCAATTATTTGTTTTAAAAATATTTTGTGTTTTTATTACGTATCTTAATTTTTTTTTCGGAAGTTCAATTTAGGGCTCAATAATGTTCAATTCAAACGCTTATGTCGTCACTAAATATCAGGTGCGATTGTGGCGAAGCGTTCATCTATTTTACATGAAAAAGAGCACTGAAAATTAGTTACAATGTAAAAAATTAATATCCAATTGCTGCTGTAGAGAGAGTATTAACAATTATTGGTAATAATTATAATATAATAAATCCCATATCACACTTTTGGTTGTAGCATTTTGTAACTGTACCGTAAAAGTATTAAAAAAAAAACGATGTGTAACATAGAGATAAAATAAGAATGAAACAAATAAAATGCAATAAATTAATAAAAAAACACGCGAGACAACACGCAGAGTAAATACAGCCAAAGTTAACGAGATGCAAATATTTGCACAAGAGGGCTTTATTGGCCGAGTTGTTGTGACGACGCGACGCAAAGGAGCGGCTAGGGCTGTGCTCGAGGGGGAGCATCCCTAAAGGACGCGGTCAAGAAAAACTTTTTTAAATGAACAGCGTCTACACCATTTTGACTAAAATGGTTTAATTTATCTACAAGGACCTAAGACTATCTTAATTATTATTTAACGAATAATTTGTAATTTCAATACAGTAGTGGTATTTTTTCATAGCGGTAATTATTTGACTATATTTTATTATTAGGAACTTGACAGGTTTTGCAAGGGTTGCATTAATTGAATAAATGTATTAAACTTTCAAAAATAAACATTCTTGAGTCGCGATTTAAAGAGGTCCTGTTTTAGTGGTACCCGTTGGTGTTCTCAGCCGCGCCTCAGTTGACGTCAAAGGCCAAAGCCATCAAAACCTCAACTAAATTCAGTAATTATCAAACTAAACTCTTTAAACAATCAAGGCCCTCAGGCACAAATAAATTAAACGAAGTTAGAGCTCTAGCAACGTTGGTGATTGCCACTTAGGTAATTGAATTAATGTGTCAACGCTTTGTGGAAAATTCAGGCTTTGAAAGGGGTAACGTTAGGTATTTGCTTAATTTCATTAACAGCTTACAAAACTTTACTTTGAGCAATGTTTGTTTTTGCTTACGTCCGTGTATAAATCAAACAGGCGCAATGACATTATCAATCCCCAGTTAATCATTTTTTTATAATATCAAGATTATCGCAGAACCAACGCAAAGGATTGACGGAAGAAAATGCTACTTAGCAATAAGGCTTCGAAGTTGAAGCTTTGTCAGTCCTAAAACAGATCTGTTTGCAAGTGGAGATTGTATAGATTGTCGTTTTGGTAGACAAGCACTATTTACCTGCGGATGACCTCTATTGACCGCAGCTGCCTGCACGCAAAAAATACTTTTTACCACCTTGAAAGTTCTTTTTGCGTGCAGGCAGCTTTGGTTTTGTTGGTAGTACGTACATTAATATTCTGTGTTGACATTGTAATTTCGAATGAGTAGAATAAAGATTATTTGATTAATTTATTTAAAAAAAAATTTCTACTCCTTGTAGGAATCCATTTTACGTGATATTTCGTAAAAGTTGTAAATTTTTAAATAATTATTTTTAGTAAAGGATATTCACCTTTTTATTCTCCGTCTCTCATTACCAACAAAGACGACGGACAATTAGCGCCCCTTCCACTTCCCATCTCCCTCTGCAGCTATCCCTCAAGCAAAGGCGCAGTGTACACACAACATTAGTAACGTGTATAACATTTTCAAAGGCCCCCTCTAATTGCATCAATTACGATACACTGCTTCGTTTTGCGCGGAGCCTATCTTTGTAAGTAGTAGTCGGACTGTTGCCAGTTAATTCAAAGGCTATCAAAAATCTTTTCTTTAATTCTACTTTACAAGATGGTCGAAATAAATATCAGTACCACCACAGTTTGGACGTCCAAACTTTGCCCCATAAATTGAAAACTCATATAGTGTAATGCCAACTAATATCAAATTTTAAAGTCAAGAGTTATTTTAATTATTACTTCAATAGCATGGACTTCCACATATATGTACCAGAAATTATCGCTGTTAAATTCATTTCGCTGTACTGCTTACGTTTCTAAACCGTGTCCCAATCTTCCTGTTACCATCGTTAGAGCATTTTCCTATTTCGCAACTTTGGTCGTGTTCTACAAATTTCGGTGGCCTTCGGCAATTTCGGTTAATTTTTCGGTAACTCGATAACGTTACGGGCTAATTGGTGGGTCGCTAAAGCTATTGTACTAATTACGTAATACCATACTTTGTTCTAAGTTTTAATGTTGTCATTTAAGACAATTTTCCTTTGGGAAATAATAAAAAAGACAATTAAATAAAAGTATAATTATGTTGGGATTAACTTGTTTCTTGAGCCAATATTTTTGGGTAAAACAATTTAAAATAGTCTTTGGAAAGTAATATCTATCATTATAGCGTTTAGCATTTGTTTTAGAAGATAGTCATTATTAGATTAGGGTTCTTCTTGTAATAATGTAATCGTTTGGCGTAGTGGCATACACTATATTATTGTGATCCAAAACTCAGCGACGCCGAAAACGTTTCTAGTAGCCGCCATTAAAGCCTCAAGTGTGCAGGTGTTAGGGCACGCAGGACACAATGTGAAGTGGGCCATAGTTTGAATGGCACCGCACAATCGAGGTGACTACCATCCGGCGAAGTGAGTCAGAAGCCTATTTAACGCTCTAGAACGGCCGTGGCAATTTGTGTCCCGGAGGAGGACTCTCAGAAGGCGGGACGAAGATAGAGTAGATAGGTTGTTTTATCCTGCCAATATACATTACAATTCAGCTTTGATTGTCTTAAATGTCAGTTTTTTAATTGAACCTGGTACTTTGTTTGAGATATCATTACTTTACATTATGAAACATTTAGACACACACAAACACTTTTTTCTTAAAATTGCATAATTTTTGATAATTAAAGTTGAACTAAAATTATTCCACTTAACTCTTTAACTCTTTTTTCACCTCTTTTTTCTTCCTTCCTCGAAAGAACGGTTTAGTTAACAAATATTATTGCTACTCAACAAACATTTAAAAGCTATAGGGTACATGCCGTCACAAGTGTACAAACTATCGCCCTCTCAATAAAAAACAAACTTGTTCTTCCACTAGGCTACCACCACTCAATTTATTATATCTTATTTTAAAAAGGCAGACGACAAAACCTATCGTATTGCTATCACATAAAACACTTTTTAATTAAGCAACTAGCAGCAAGCGGTACGGTTCTCTTTTCTATATCTATGGTTCTCTTAACAACGCCCTGGCAAATGTCAGCGTGGGTCACGGCGGCATTCACGCTGAGCCAGCGTAATTGCGCCGCTTTGATTTGAAAATAACGTTATTTGTTATTTTTCTGTTTAAAGCTTGTTATTTTTATTCATAAATTAGTAATATCGAATTTTGTATCAATAATAATCACCAGTTAGTGAAGTGTTTTAATCGCCGTATTCGAGAGGCTTGCACACCGGTTTTCTTGGTGTCGCCATCTCTCAGGTCCCGGGTTCGATTCCCGGCCTTGTCAGTGTAGAAAACTAACTTTTCTATATTGCCCTGGGTTTGGGTGTTTGTGGTACCCTCGTTGTTTCATAATACAAGTGATTTAGTTACTTACTTTAAAATCGGAGTAACATACGTGATGTTGTCTAATGTTTATTTATAATTTATTAATACAAAGATCGAACACTTAGAAAAAGTTCCTTCGATCCGGCCGGATTCGAACCGACGTCCTCTAGCAAACCGTGCCAGACGCTTTGCCAACTAAGCCACGGAACGAACCAGCGGACCTCACGAATTTCTCTACGTGCTTGTTTTTGTTTTCACAAAAAAAAATTGAATATCATATTGGTGAAACGTCCTCACATTTAATAAAATGTTTAATTCATATTTATTTATTTTACAAAAAAAATGACAATCATGGTAGTTAAATATCACGATATACAACAAATAATAATATTGTAATGGTATTTGATGGTTCCACTAAGTACGTAGTCTTGTCATGAAAGTGAATAAAGCTTTCTATATATTTTTTATTTTTTAAATTATTACGCATCTATACAGTTATCGTATTGGCAATTTTAATACTACATCGGATCCTTCAATGGTATTCGCA